CCCCCCGCCCCCCCGCCTTTGTCCGTCAGCACCGCGGACAGCGCCCGCACCGCGCCCTGCCCGCCGTTTGGGGGTCCCGGTGCCCCCCGCCCTGCTGAGCCCTGTCCCGGGGTTTGAGGAGTCCTGATAAGCCCCACCCTGCTCGGGATTTTGGGTGTTTGGGGGATCCCAGTGCCTCTTGCCCCACCCAGCCCTGCCTAGGGATGGGAGGATCCTGGTGCCCCGAGCCTCGCCCGGGGGCCTGGGGGTGTTTCAGTACCTCCCCCCCTTCTGAGCTCCCCGTCCTCCCCAGTTCTGGGAGGTGATCAGCGACGAACACGGCATCGACCCCAGCGGCAACTACGTGGGGGACTCGGACCTGCAGCTTGAACGCATCAGCGTCTACTACAATGAGGCCTCTTGTAAGCGAACCCCCCTCGGAACCTCCCCCGGCGGGGTAGCCGGGCACCCCCACCCTGGGCTGGGGCCCCAGTCTGACCCCCCAGTGCAGGGGGAGCTGGGTCTGCTGCGGTGGGAAGGGGGAGCAGATAGACATACCCACCCCGCAGAGGTGTGGGGTGGGCAGGCACATGCACCCACCCCGTGGGACCATTTAGTGTGGGGCAGGGGGAAATCATGTACACCCAGTTCCATGGGACCCTGCCATTTGGGAGGGATCACACACAACACCTGCACCCCAGCCCTGTTGGACCCCGGGAGGGCAGACATGTGGACCCACCCCCTCAGACCCTGCAGTTTGGGGGGCAGGGGTGCACAAGTGCCTCCAAGTTCATGGGACCCTGTAGTCTGGGTGGAGGCGTGATACATGCACCCACCCCATGGGACCCTGTGGTTTGGGGAGACAGGGACACCTGCACTCACCCTGTAGGATCCTGTGGTGTGGGAGGGGCAAAACAGGAACATCCACCCAGCCCACGGGGCCCAGAGGGGGAACGGGGGACAGATGTGCACCCACCCATGTGATCCCCATTGTTTGGGGGGCATGAGACATGCACCCACGCCTTGAGCACCCCCGGGATTTGGGGGGGACACGACCTGTGCTCCCTGCCCCGTAGAACCCTGCAGGGTGCTGGGGAACACCTCTGGGGTGGGATGGGGGGGCGGCAGCAGGTCCCCTCCCATCATGGGGTCTCTCTCAGCTCACAAGTACGTGCCTCGCGCCATCCTGGTGGATCTGGAGCCGGGGACGATGGACAGCGTGCGCTCCGGTGCCTTCGGCCACCTCTTCCGCCCTGACAACTTCATCTTCGGTAGGTCCCCGGCGAGGGAGGGGTGCACCGTCCCCCCATGTTCCCCCCAGCCCCTGCATCCTCGGACCCGCCCTGCCAGCCGCCGTCCCCGGGGCGCTCGGCGGGCACACCCCTCCCGCGCCGCGGGGCCCGGCACTGCCGGCACGCCGCCAAACCTCTGCGGTTCCTGCTTCCCACCCCGCCCCGGCGTCAGATCTCCCCGGTGCTGCCGGCGGCAGCGGCTGGTCCCAGTCCTGATCCTCGCTCCGGTCCCCTCGGGCCGTGGGCGTGGGGGGCCAGCGGCCATCGGAGCCTCTTTTCTTTCCCAGGGCAGAGCGGTGCTGGGAACAACTGGGCAAAGGGGCACTACACAGAGGGGGCCGAGCTGGTGGACTCGGTGCTGGATGTGGTGCGGAAGGAGTGTGAGAACTGCGACTGCCTGCAGGGCTTCCAGCTGACCCACTCGCTGGGCGGGGGCACCGGCTCGGGCATGGGCACCCTGCTCATCAGCAAGGTGCGGGAGGAGTACCCCGACCGCATCATGAACACCTTCAGCGTGGTGCCGTCCCCCAAGGTGTCGGACACGGTGGTGGAGCCCTACAATGCCACGCTCTCCATCCACCAGCTGGTGGAGAACACGGACGAGACGTACTGCATCGACAACGAGGCGCTCTACGACATCTGCTTCCGCACCCTCAAACTGGCCACCCCCACCTATGGCGACCTCAACCACCTGGTGTCGGCCACCATGAGCGGCGTCACCACCTCCCTGCGCTTCCCCGGGCAGCTCAACGCTGACCTCCGCAAGCTGGCTGTCAACATGGTGCCCTTCCCGCGCCTGCACTTCTTCATGCCTGGCTTTGCCCCGCTGACGGCGCGTGGCAGCCAGCAGTACCGCGCCCTCACCGTGCCCGAGCTCACCCAGCAGATGTTTGATGCCAAGAACATGATGGCAGCCTGCGACCCCCGCCATGGCCGCTACCTCACCGTGGCCACTGTCTTCCGTGGCCGCATGTCCATGAAGGAGGTGGATGAACAGATGTTGGCCATCCAGAGCAAGAACAGCTCCTACTTTGTGGAGTGGATCCCCAACAATGTCAAGGTGGCCGTGTGTGACATCCCGCCGCGGGGGCTGAAGATGTCCTCCACCTTCATCGGGAACAGCACGGCCATCCAGGAGCTCTTCAAGCGCATCTCGGAGCAGTTCACAGCCATGTTCCGCCGCAAAGCCTTCCTGCACTGGTACACGGGCGAGGGGATGGACGAGATGGAGTTCACCGAGGCCGAGAGCAACATGAATGACCTGGTGTCCGAGTACCAGCAGTACCAGGACGCCACGGCCGAGGAGGAGGGTGAAATGTACGAGGACGACGAGGAGGAGTCGGAGGCGCAGGGCGCCAAGTGACGCCCGACGCCGCCCCCCAACAGTGCCCGCAGCCCCCCCGGCTTTGAGCTGCTGCACCCCCCAGGTGCTGCTCCCCCTGCCATCCCCTCAGTGTCTCCTGGCCCCATCCCCCCTGAGCCGGCTCGGCCCCTTGCCCCTCTTCCTACCTCCCACCTTTTCATTTTTTACTGGTTTGTGTCTTATTATTTTTTTTGAATACTTAATAAATTTATTGCTGTCCAGGTACTACTTGTCTGTGGCTGCTGAGTAGAGGGGACGGGGGACACCCACACGGTTCGGCCCCTCAGACATTCCCAGCCAGGGGAGGCGTTTGGGAAGCTCCCATGCACTGCCCCCCACCCTTCTGCCCCTCAGATCCGGCTGTCCCGGGCAGGCTGTGCCTTTGTCCCCACTGTCACCCTTCTCCAGGCTGGGGGGGGTGTGGCAGCCACCTCCCTATGCCAGAACACAGTTGCTTTGTTCCCCAAACTGAGGTGGTAGCACAGAGCCCAGGGACCCCAGGGTGTTTCCCCAGGGCTGGGTGTGTGCCCAGCTGTGGAGGAGCCAGGACACTCCTGGATCTGAGTCCCCTGGCCTTGGAGGCCATTGGCCGGCAGGGCTGTGGGCTATAGGAACAAGGAGCTATAGGAGAGGGGACGGTGGGGCTGGGGGCTGTGGGGATGGGGACGCTGACGATAAAGGCTGTAGGGTGGGGTCTGTAGGGGTGGGGACAGTGCGATGGCACCGGGGGCTGTAGGGGTGGGGACAGTGCGGATGTCGCGGAGCGGCCCCGCCCGGGCGCGGCGCGGTCTGCCGGCCGCCAGGGGGCAGCAGCACGCAGGGCTCGAGGGGCGGGGCCTTGCGGGGCGGGGCGGGCTCTGCGGGGGCGGGGCCTGGCAGGGGGCGGGGCCTGGCGGCGGCGCGCGGCGGTGAGCGGGGTGGGGGCGCTGCCCCCTGGCGGGCGCGCGGGAGGGGCCGCGGGGGGACAGCGAGGGGACAGCGAGGGGACAGCGAGGGGACAGTGGCGCCCTCGGGGGGCCGGGATGGGTGGACGGTGCCGGTACGTGGTGACCGTGGGCCGAAGCGGGCGTTGGCGGTGGGGCAGGGCGGGGGCACGGGCGTGGGAGGCGGAGAGACGCGTCTGTCCGCGGGGACGGGAACGGAGACGGGGACCGGGACGGGAACGGAGACGGGGTATGGTGCTAGGACCGGGGTGTCGGGGATGGGGACGGTGCTGGGGTGTTGGTGCTTATGACAGAATGCCGGTGACGGTGTGTAGGTGTCAGTGTCCGTGTGTCTGTGTTTATGTCCGTGTGTCGGTGTTTGTGTCCGTGTGTCGGTGTCCGTGTGTCGGTGTTTGTGCCGGTGTTTGTACCGGTGTTTGTGCCGGCGCTGGGGTTTCTGTGGGTGTGCCAGGGTGTCGGTGACAGTGAGGAGGTGTCGGTGCCGGGGTGTCAGTGCTGGTAACGAGGTGTTGGTGACAGTGCTGCTGGTGCTGGCATGTCGCTGCTGCTGCCGGGCCATCAGTGCCAGTGCTGGAGAGTCAGTGCCATGACAGGGTGTTGGTGGCAGTGTCGGTGCTGCTGAGGTGCTATTGGTGCCTGTGATGGGGTGATGGTGCCGGTGCCAGGGTGTGGGTGCTGCTGATACACTGCAAGTGCTGTGACAGGGTGCTGGTGACGGTGCCAGCGCTGGGGTGTTGGTGCCAGGGTGCCAGTGCCAGCGCTGGGGTGACTGAGGCAGTGTCCATTCCCCAGCAGGACGGTGGCAATGGCGTCAGATGAGCGGCTGGCCCGCTTCCGCCAGGCCCACCTGAACCCCTTCAACAAGACCCCTGAGCAGCTGGAGCGCCCCGACGGAGAATCCCCTGCCCCAGGTGGGTGCTGATTCCCCCACCCCACTCCCTGTCCCACACTGGGGTGGGCAGCCAGGCCCAGCCCCTCCCTGGTACCCCTGTTCTGGGGGTGGTTTCAGCCCCCCCATGAGACCCCACTTTGTAGCCCAGCAGCCGGATCCCACCCCAGGGGACCCCGAGGGCGCCCTGGACCTGGGGCTGGCCGAGGACCACTTCTCCCGCCCTGTGGTGAGTGGGGCGGGTGTTGTGAGGATGGGGGGGATGTGGGGGACTCAGCTCACCCTCCTCTTCCTCTGGTGGTGGCGGCAGGGGCTGATCCTGGCGTCGGACGTGCCGCAGCTGCGCCGGGCCATCGAGGAGTGCAAGCGGGTGATCCTGGCGCTGCCCGAGCACTCGGAGCGGCAGAAGGACGCCGTGGTTCGGCTCATCCACCTCCGCCTCAAGCTGCAGGAGCTGAAGGTGGGGCTGAGGCTGGAGCTGGGGCAAGAGGGTCTCTATGGCTGGGGCTCCATGCTGACACCCATCCCTGGCAGTGTCCAAGGCCAGGCTGGACAAGCTTTGGAGCAACCTGGGATAGTGGAAGGTGTCCCTGCCCGTGGCAGGAGGTGGAATGGGGTGAGCTTTAAGGTACAACCCAAGCTATTCCATGGTTCTTTAGTTCTCTGATCCTCCTTTGCCCCTGAAGGACCCTGGTGAGGATGAGCCCAACATCCGGGTGGTCCTGGAGCATCGTTTCTACAAGGAGAAGAGTAAGAGCGTCAAGCAGATGTGTGACAAGTGCAGCACCATCATCTGGGGGCTCATCCAGACCTGGTACACCTGCACAGGTGGGTCTGGGACACCTCCTCCACGTCCCTGCTTCCCCCATCCCCACACTGACACCCACCCACCTGTGCCCCCCAGGCTGCTACTACCGGTGCCACAGCAAGTGCCTGCCGCTGGTGAGCCGGCCGTGCGTGCGGGCCCAGGTGAGCCACCAGGCCGAGTACCAGCTCAGCATCTGCCCCGAGAGTGGGCTGGACAGCCAGGACTATCGCTGTGCCGAGTGCCGGGCCCCCATCTCCCTCCGTGAGCCCCTGCTGCTGCTGGGGGGCTGGGGCCAGCTGGGGGGAGCTGGGGGAGCTGGGGAGAGCTGGGGAGAGCTGGAGGGAGCGGGGGCCTCGGGGGCTGGGAGGCCCGTGGGGCTCTGTGGGGCTGGGTGATGTGGAGCTGGGATGAGCTGGGAGCTCTGTGGGGTTGGGGGGTGTAGGGCTGGGGTCTCCATGAAGCTCTGTGGGACTGAGAGGGGGGCTGAGGGGAGGTGGGAGCTTGTGGGGCTGGGCTCCCTGTGGGGCTTTGTGAGGCTGGGGGAGCTGCCTGGGGCTGAGGGGCTGTGGGCTGGGAGGTGTGGGGCTGGTAGGTTTGGGCTTTGGGGGCTGGGAGTTACGGGGATCTGAGGAAGGTGACACTGGGGCCCTGCCGTGTCCCCAGGTGTTGCTGGGTGTTCTGGGGGCACACACAGGGTGTGGGGTGAGCAGAGAGCGGGGGGGTGCCAGTGCCAGCCCCATGCCAGCCCTTTGTCACCACAGGGGGGGTGCCCAGTGAGGCCCGGCAGTGCGACTACACCGGCCTCTACTACTGCTCCAGCTGCCACTGGAACGACCTGGCCGTGGTGCCCGCCCGTGCCATCCACAACTGGGACTTCGAGCCCCGCAAGGTGCCCCTGGCATGGGGTGGGGACACCCTGGGGTGTCACCAAAGTCCCTCAGGACAGTGGCCCTGGATAGAGGCCACCTGGGGGACCATGCCCTTGGTCATGGGGGTCCCTGGGGAGCGCGTCCCTTGGTGGGGTCACCTGGGGGATCCCATCCCTGATCTTGCATGTCCCTGGGGACCATGGCCTTGTGTAGATGTCACTTGGGGAACCACATCCCTGTTCATGGGGGCCATGTCCCTGGTTATGGGGGTCACTGGGTGGAGATCACTTGAGGGGAAGCCGTGTCCCCAGGGTCGTGTCCCCAGGGCCGTGTCCCTGTGACAGGTCCCTGGCAGGGCTCCGTGGGTGGCGGCAGGGCTGGCAGGTGCGGGGGGTGACGGTGGCCCTGGCAGGTGTCGCGCTGCAGCATGAGGTACCTGGCACTGATGGTGTCACGGCCGGTGCTGAAGCTGCGGGAGATCAACCCACTGCTCTTCAACTACGTGGAGGAGCTGGTGGAGATCCGGGTGAGTGCTGGGTCTGGGGAGGGCCCCACAAGGGCAGGGGACACCATAGAGGGACTGTGGGGTGAGCAGGAGGTGGGGAGACCCCAGTGGCACCCACTGGGTCCCACAGAGAGGAAGCAAGTGAGGTGGGGGGTTTGGGACAGAGGGTGCCCACACTGCAACAGGAATGAACGTGACCCATCTGGTCTTTTTCTCGTCATGCTTCTGTCTCCATCCCGTTAACAACCCCGTCCCTGTTGCCATCCTCATCCTGCCCCTGCCATTGCCCTTTGCCCTATGGTCCTATTCCTATCCCCATCTCTGTCCCCATTCCTGTCCCCATTCCTGCCTCATTCCCATTTCATCCCTGTCCTCATTCCTACTCCCATTCCTGTCCCCATTCCTGTCTGTATTCCGTCCCATCCCCATTCCCACCCCATGCCATTCCTGTCCCTGTCCCCATCCCCATCCTGTCCCGTTCTCACACTGTCTCCATCTCATCCTTGCCCCTGTCCCCATCCTGCCCCTGTCACTGCCCTTTTTCCTGTCCCATCCCTGCCCCTACATGCACTCCCATTCCCACCCCATCCCATCCTGTCCCTGCAGAAGCTGCGCCAGGACATCCTGCTGATGAAGCCCTACTTCATCACCTGCAAGGAGGCGATGGAGGCACGGCTGCTGCTGCAGGTCAGGCCGGGGGCCAGGGCCAGGCGTGGCGGGGGCGGTCACACGGGGATGGCGGTCACACGGCGGTGGCAGTCACACGGGGATGGCGGTCACACGGGGATGGCGGTCACACGGGGATGGCGGTCACACAGCGGTGGCGGTCACAGTGCCCCATTTGCCCACAGCTGCAGGACCGGCAGCACTTTGTGGAGAACGATGAGATGTATTCGCTGCAGGACCTGATCGACATCGAGGCCGGGCGCCTTGGCTGCTCCCTCACCGAGATCCACACACTCTTTGCCAAGCACATCAAGCTGGACTGCGAGGTGAGCCCACGGTGCGGGGCAGAGCCGTGGGGAGACCCCCGTGGGGTCAGTGGAGGGCTGGAAGGGTCACCATTGTCTCCTCCCGCCTGCTCCCCCAGCGATGCCAGGCCAAGGGCTTTGTCTGCGAGCTGTGCCGGGAGGGCGACGTGCTCTTCCCCTTCGACAGCCACACCTCGGTCTGCGCCGACTGCTCCGCCGTCTTCCACAGGTACCGATACGTGGGGGCGGGATGTGGGGACATGGGGGTGCCAGGGGGTGACCCAACACTGTCCCCCTCCACCTCCAGGGACTGCTACTACGACAACTCCACCACCTGCCCCCGGTGCACCCGGCTGAGCCTGCGGAAGCAATCCTTGTTCCAGGACTCGGTCACGGAGGCAGAGCCCTGAGGGGGGTTTGGCCCCACGGTGGGGTCTCAGGCCCAAGACTGCCCCCCACCCACCACAGGGCCCTGGGATGGACACAATCAACCCAGTGGTGGCCCTGGCTCTGGGATCCTCTGCTCGTGGAAATAGCAGCACTGCCGGGAGGGAATCACTGCTGGACCCCAGTCATTCCCGGGAGCATGGAGAGCCTCACCGGAGGGGCCAGGATCGGGTTAACTGGGATCCGGTTAACGCCCCACCGCGGCTCCTGCCGTCCCTGCCTGGAGCCGGGTGCGGGCAGGGATGGAGTGCAGGCCGGGGCTGGTGCTGCGCTGTCCTGGAGTCACTGCTGCTGTCGGGAGGGCTCAGCCCTGGCACCGGGATGGCACCGAGTCCCTCCCACACCCAGCACTGGACTCTGGTCCCTCCCCACCACCGTTACCGGGGCCTAACCCCGCGGGGGATGTTGCGGGATGTTCCCCGGGCTGGACCGGGTGCGGTGTGGAGCCGCTGCCTCCCCTTCTCCCCATGTTTCCTGTAGCATTAACGAGTCTCTTTGCGCAACCCAGCACTCGTGTCCCTGCTTCGGGCGGCGGCGGGGAGCACCGGGGCCACGGGCAGGATGTGCGAATGCCCGGGGGTGGCAGCCCAGGAGCTCCCGCCGATGCTGGGTCTGCCGGGGGCGAGCACCGGCACCGGGCCGGTCCGCGGGCTAGAATTGCGCTGCGGGGGATGTGCCGCAGCCACCGCCGGTCTCTCGTCCACCGAGAGCGGCCGCGTCCACGCTGCCCCGGTACCGGCCGGGCACCCCCGTTCCCGCTGCTCCCGAGGTGTTCCGTGCCCCCAACTCCTCCCGCTCCCCCGCGCGGCGGCGCAGATGGGCAGAGGCCGGCGGTGGATCGGTCGGTCGGTTTTACCGGATCACAGCACTGCTACATCAGAACCGGGCGGGCACCGGCATCGACCGCGCTGAGCCGTGCGACCCGTCCCGTCCTGCCCCACCCGCCGCTCCCGGCAACCGAGGCCGTGCCGCTCCCGGGGGCCGGCGGGGCCGGCCCGGTTTTCCCCCGGGGCCGCGGGCCACCGGCTGAGGGCAGCCCCGGTACGTCCCCGCCGCGGGGCTGGGGCCGCCTCTGCCCTCCGGGCGGGCTAACGGGAGTCCTGCGCCCGGGGACGGGCTCCATCAGTACCGACGGAAGCACACCGGCCTGTCCCGGTGTCCCCCGGCGGGTTTTGTCCCTACGGCTCCCGCGGGCGCTCGGCGGGCAGGAAGGCGTCCGGGGGTCCCGGCGGCAGCTCGGGGTCACTCAGGTGCTTCTTGTCCCGGCCCTGCTCCCGCGCGCGGGTCCAGGAGGGCGAGCGCAGGTACCCGGCCCGCGGCACCGCCGGCGGCTGCAGCCCTGCGGGACGCACCGGCGGGTGGGCGGTCAGCGACGCACCGGGACGGGCGGACAGACCGGGAGCGGCGGCCCCGGACCCCCGCTCACCGCCGGCCGTCTCTCCGGCCACGTTCTCCTCGTCGGAGTCGGCGAAGACCTCGGCAAGCTCCTGGTCCGACATATCCGTCAACTCCGTCAGGTCCAGCAGGTCGAAGTGCACCTCCAGCGAAGACACGCTGCTCAGGGGCTCTGCGGGCACCGGGGGGAGGCTGGGGACCCACCGCTGTCCCCAGCGGGGGAGGCGGGGGTCTGCTGCTTGTGGCCCAGGGAGCAGGGGGTATGAGGGGCTTTGGGGGAGTATGACTGGCTGGGGGCTAGCAGGGGACCCTAGGGGTGTCAGGGGACCCCAGGGACAGGAAGGAGAACCCAGAGGATGGCAGAATACCGGGGACAGGCAGGAGAACCAAGGGCTGGCAGGAGACTCTGGGGGACAGGCAGGAAAGCCCAGAGCAGACCCAGAGGTGCTGGGGACAGGCAGGTGATGCTGTAGGCAGGCAGGGAGCCCAGCTCAGGGCCTCACTCACGTCGGCGCTCGGTGACCTGCAGCAGGCCGGCGCTGGGGATGGGGATGCCACCCTGCTCCTCCGCGGGGACTCGGGGGGTCTCCTGGGCCGGCCCGTGGGTCGGGGTCCCTGCAGGGCACTCCGGGACCAGTGGCTCCTTGCCAAGCTCTGCCACATCAGCACCTTCTGCTTCAGTGGGGGCAGCTCCTCCCGGGGCCCCCCAGCACTCCCGGGGTGCCCAGCTAACGGGCCGGGGACAGCAGGACCCCCGGGGATGGCCGGGGGAACGGGCAGAGCTGCCCGAGACCCTCGTGTCGGAAGCTGGCAGCCCCCGCCCCCCTCCCCGCGCAGCCCCTTTGTGTCGGCGAGACAAAGCGCAGCCTGTGCCGGGGCCCGGACAAGGGCGCATTGTGCTGGGACTGTCCGCGGGAAGAGCCGGAGGGACAAGGCGGCCGTGGCACACGGCAATGGTCATGGCACAGGTCATGGCACACGGTGGTGGTAGAGCCCGTGGCTGTGGCACACAGCGGGGGCACAGCCGTGTCTCGGGGCTGAGCGGGCGCTGAGGGTGGCAGGAGGCCCTGCGTGCCCAGGGCAGCACGGGGGGACGCGGCACCCTGTCCCCACGAGGTCCTGGCACCACGCGCCGCCACCAAACCGTGCCACCGCTGAGTTACCGGGTGACACGGCACAGGGGGGGGCATCGCCTCCCTCCCACCGGGATGGTGACAGCGGGGCAGGGACAGAGACCTCCAACCCCACGGGGAAAGGGATGTTACGGGGTGTTCCTGCTGCCGGCACGTGGAGCTGCAGGACATCGGCAGGACACCAGTGGGACACCAGCCCTCTGCCCCGACATTGACTCCGCCACATCCTGACCCCGCAGGTATGTTCCCTCGGGCCGGGACATGAGGTTCTCATCCCGCTCCAGAGCAGAGAAGATCCCCGTGGGGCGGACACGGGGGCTGCCTGCTCTTGCCCGCTCCCGCCGCCTCGCCCCGCTCGGTGCCCAGCCCCGGTGGGTGACACCTGGCCGTGACACCCCCTGCCCGCACCACGCCCCCACACACCAGGGCGCTGGTCCCGGCTGCAGAATTCCCCTCTGGCCTCCGCCTGCATGGTCCCGCCGTGCCGCCGGCCGTGTCACCAGCAGTGTCCCCAGCCACACCGCCCGCTCCGGCCTGGGCTCACCGGCTGCCTGGCGGGAGCGGGGCCGGATCAGGGATCTCTCCCGCACGACGTGTGCTGACTCACGGCAACCGCAGAGCCGGGCAGCCGCCGGTACCGGCACCCCAGGGCACCCGCGACCCGCCCCGGTGGCACTGTCCCCTCAAGGGCCCGGTGTCCCGCCGTTCCCCCGGGGTCACGGCCGGGGCTGCCCCGTGCTGGCGGCTACGGCACGGCGGTGTGCGGGCCACACGCGGGAGGGACGGGCGTGCAGGAGAGCCCTGGCACCACCTCTGTCGCTAGGTGCAGCCCCCCCAGAACACCGGACCCCCCTCAGCTGCACCAGTACAGCCACCTCGCTGTCCCCAAGCCCCTCCGCACGCCGGCACTGGCACAGCTGTGCGGGATGTCTGCAAGGGACCCCACTGCTCCTCACGTCCCCTGGGCACCCCAGTGTTCCTCCGTGTCCTGTGAGCACCCTACTGCTCCTCTACACCCCCGAGCACCCCACCGTACCCCCACATTCCCTGGGCACCCCGTCGCAATCCCAAATCCCCAGGGCACTCCCCTGCTCCGTCTGACCACCTGGCCACCCCACTGCCTCCCCATGTCACCCCACTGCACCCCCACCTCCTGCGAGCATCCCACTGCCGCCACCCAAGTCCCCAGGGCATTCCGGTGCTCCCTCAGACCCCTGAGGACACCACCGTGGTCCCCCACATTTTCTGGGTACCCCACTGCTCTCTTCCTCCATCCCCGACTCTCCCTGTACAGACCCCCCCGCGATGTCCAGTCCCCGCCCCCACATCCCCCTCCCCCTGCAGCCGGGCACCCCCAGCACGGCCCCACGCCCCCCTTTGCACCCCAATGCGCCCCCCCCCGCTCCTCTTCCCGTTGCACCCCCGCCCTACATCTCCTTGTCCGCCCCGCGGGGCCCGGCCCGGTTCCACGGTGATGGGCGTGCCGGTCCGTGCCTGCCCGCTCTGCCCCCCCGCCCTCACCTGCGGCGGCGACGGCTGCCGGAGCCGCCATGGGCCGGGCTCGGGGCTGATGCCGGTGCCGGTGCCGGTCCGGTGCCGGTCCGGTGCTGGGCGGGCCCGGTGCCAGCCCGCAGCCCGCACGGTCCTGCCCGCCGCGGCGGGGGCGGGGACACCGGGGGCGGGGACACCGGGATGGGCGGAGCCGAGGGGCGGGAGGCACCGGGAGGACAAGAGAGGGCGCGGAGGGGACCGGGAGGAGCCGAGGGGCACGCGGGGATCGGGGGACCCCAGCTGTGGGGACAGCCCGGGTCGCAGCGGGGGTCGCGGGGTTGGGAGCAGCCTGTGCCGGGCACAGCGGGACCCCCGGGTTTGTCCCCTCAGTCCTCCCCGAACTCGTTCCGCCGCCGAACAACCCGGTTCCCCCAGTCTACCCGTTCCCTCACACTGCCCCCCGCCGCTTCCTCCCAGCCCGGTCCCCGCGATGTCCCCCCGCTTCTCCCCGGTGTCCCCTCCCGGTCCCCGCCCCGTCCCCTCCCGGTCCCCGCCCCGTTCCCGCCCATCTCTCTGGCCCCGCCCCCGTTGCCAGGGCGGAGCGTGGCGTTGTTAGGGAGCGTGTCTCCCGCAGTGCAGCTCTCGCGAGATTTCGCCGTCGTCTCGCGGGATCTGCCGTCCGTTGCCCGGAGACGCCGGCCGCCGCCATGGTGAGAGCGGAACCGGGCCCGGGCCGGGATCGGGGTCAGGAGGAGAACCGGGGTCGGGGGGAGAACTGGGGCGGCTGCTGAAGGGTGTCCTGCAGCCGGGATGTGCGGGCAGGGAAGGGCGGTGGAGCCCCGCGGCCCGATTTCTAGGATCCCAGTCCTGTCCTGGCCCGCTCCCGGGGAGGGTACGGAGCCCCTCGGCGCCGTTCCCAGCACCGCGGCGATGCTTCTCCGGCGTTTTTTTGGGTACAGGCGTTTTGTGCCCGGGGTTCACCACGGAGCCGAGTCGGCAATGGCACCGCATGAGCCTCTCCCCGCCCGCTCCTGGGGCTCCCGGCTCCGTGTCGCCGTTGTCGCCGTGTCCCTGCCGTGAGAGCAGGGATGCTCCGGGGCCGGCACGGGGCCCTGGGCAGCGCTCCTCACCCATTCACCTCCTGTGCTTGGCTTTCTGTCCTCAGGCACCCAAAAAGAAGGCAGGGGGCAAAGGGAAGGGGGGCAAAGGCCCGGCGATGGTGGATGCCTCGGCCCCAGAGGACATGAGCAAGGAGCAGGTGAGAGGTCCCCGGGCCAGCCCTGGGGAGGAGGCGTAAGGACATGTCAGAACAGCTCTGGGGACCCTGCGTGGCGCCTGGCCCCAGCTCCGGGGACAACAGGTGCAGAGGCTGACAGGGACGAGCAGCCGGGGTTTGTGTCACTGACGCCTGGCTGGGGCTGGGGAGGGGGGTTCTTGCTGTTCCTGGAAGGAGCAGCCTCCTCATCCCACCCTCTGCTCCCCAGCCCTGTGTTCTGGGCACTGCTCAGGCCACACATGGAATCTTGAGTCCCCTACGACAAGAAAGACCCTGAGGAGGTCCAGCCCAGAGAAGGGAATGAAGCTGGGGAAGGGGCTGCAGCACCAGGAGAGGCTGAGGGAGCTGGAAAAGGGGCTCAGCCCGGAGAAAAAGAGGCTCAGGAGGAACCTCATGGCTCTGCACAACTCCCTGACAGGAGAGGACAGCTGGGAGGGGCTGGGCTCTGCTCCCAAGGAAAAGGGACAGGAGGAGAGGGAATGGCCTCGAGCTGTGCTGAGGAAGGTTCAAGTTGGATATTGGGAAAATTTTCTTCCTGGAAAAGGTTGTCCAGCCCTGGACAGGCTGCCTAGGGCAGTGCTGTAGTCCCCGTCCCTGGAGGGATTTAAGAGTCATGTGGATGTAGCACTTGGGGACACGGGTTAGGGGTTGGCAGTGCTGGAGGAACAGTTCAGTGTGATCTTAGAGGCTTTTCCAACCCAAACAATTCCATGGACCAGAAGTATCTGAGCACCTGAGAATGGTGTTACTGGACACTGCGAGCCAGAACCCCATCCCAGGCTGCAGGCAGTCCGATGGGGTTTGGGACTCCTTTTCCAGAAGCTGCTGGGTTCAGTCAGGAACCTCCACAGCTCCACACCAGTGACAACCACCACATCCTGCCGTGTTTGGGATGTGGAGTCTCCAAAGAACTCCCTTCCTCCTTACCTGTCCCTTCCTCCTGGCTTCACAGCTGCTGGAGCACATGGTGCGTCTCCGGGAGGAGCTGGACCGGGAGCGGCAGGAGCGGAACTCCTTCCAGCTGGAGTGTAGCAGGATCCAGAGCTACTGGGAAATCACCCGCCGGGAGCTGGAGGAGAAGAAGGCAGAGCTGCGGAACCGCGACCGGGAGATGGAGGAGGCGGAGGAGCGGCACCAACTGGAGATCAAGGTGGGGCTGAAGGGCTCCAGGTGAGCCTTGGGCAGCTCTGAGGAGGAGAGGGGTAGGAGCTGGGCAGGATGAAATCCAGGAATGTTTCACCAGCATCCCAGTTCCGGGTGATCCTGCTGAGCCCCTCACTCGCTCTCTGTCTGTCCTCAGGTGTACAAGCAGAAGGTGAAGCACCTGTTGCATGAGCAGCAGGAGAACCTGACGGAGCTGAAGGCAGGGGAAGTCCTGTCCCTGAAGCGGGCCCAGAAGGATCACTGGGACCAGGAGCAGGAGCTGTGGAAAGAGAAGCGCGCCTTGAACATAAGGCTGAAGGAGCAGGAGTTGGCCAACGAGGCAGCCATTACAAACCTCTGCCTGGTACGTCCCTGGCTGGGCTGGAGCCACCTGTGACGTGCCTTATCCCCAGGGTGGGAGCAGGAGTGGGATCTTGCCTCCTTGTCTCTCTTTGTGAGGTGGGATGGGATTTCTGGTGCAGGAATGAGGAGAAGAGATTCCTGGGTGACTCCTCTCCCACACTGGGGAGCTGTGAGAGCAGCTGGAAAACCTACAAGCCACTGTTTGCATCAGCATGGAATCAGAATCCTTTCCCAAAGAGCAGGAGGGAATCCCTTGGGCTGGGCTGACTTGGGATTTGGTTGTTTCTTCCCACACTGAGTTTCTTCCTACAGAAACACGAGGAGGAGATGGCCCGGCTACGCAGCGACTTTGAGATGCAGACCAAAGGTCAGGACATGAGGCAGATCCCACAGGAGCATGACAGGGAGAGCTGTTTCTGGTTCCCAAGCAGCACCTTGAGCATATGGGGGCAGGTTCTCCTCAGTTCTGGCCATTTTTCCTTTCCCAGTTGTGGCCATTTTTTCTTCCTGGTTCTGGTCACCTTCCCACCCCACTTCTGGCTGATCTCCCCCACCCGAGGTTCTGGCCAGTTTTCCACACAAGTCCTGGCTGGTTTTCCTCCCTGGATCTGTCTAGTTTGCCCTCCAGTTCTGGCTGGTTTTCCCTCCAATTCCAGCTGATCCCAACCCACACAGTTTTGGCGAGTATTCCCTCAGTGTTTTTTTCTCCCTTCCCCATTCTGATCACCTTTCCTCCCCAGTTTCAGCCAGTTTTTCCCCAGCTCTGACAATTTTCCCCCCAGAGATGGAGGCCAAGTACACCAGGAAGATGCAGGCACTGCGGGATGAGATGGACCTGCGGAGGAAGACCGAGATCCACGAGCTGGAGGAGAGGAAGAACACCCAGATCAGCGAGCTGATGGGGAACCATGAGGGGGCTTTTGGTGCCATCAAGAACTACTACAACGATATCACTGCCAAAAATCTGACACTCATCAGCCTCCTGAAGGTATTGCCCATCCCTGTGTCACTGCTCCTGCCAGGGTGTCATCTGGATCTGGCAGTTCTCTGGTGTCAATGTGGGTGCTGCCGGTGGCCTGTGCACCGACATATGAGTGGGGAGGGTGTCCCAAGGGTGTGGGGGACTCTGAGGAGCTGGGCAGCTCTCAGGAGCCAGGACTTGTGTTCCCAAGAACAGGAGCAGGTGGAAGACCTGAAGAAGAAGGAGGCTGTCTTGGAAAAAGAGAAGGCAGATGTGCTGCGCCAGAACAAGGGGCTGACAGAGCCGCTGCAGGAGGCCCAGGAGCTGGTGGCTGAGCTGCAAAAGAAGTTGGTTCACTATTACAGGGACAAGGAAGCCCTGATGGTGAGTGGCCAGCCCTGTCCTTTCATGGGCTCATTCCTGGAGGAAAAAACACTGATCTCTGCCACTTGGTGTGCAGTGATTGCTGGGCAAAGCAAGTCCTGCCTGTTCTCCTTACTGTGCTTTTGTGGGATCTCACATGGGGATCCAAAGAGAGACTGGAAGGGAGACCAACCCTACTGCAGGGGGGTTGGTGTGGGTGCTGCCTGGTTTTCTCTCTGCTGCTCACTCTCCTCCCTTCCCAGAACACATCTCCAACACTTCCCAGACAATCCTGTTCTCTTTAACGCTCCCTTCCTGTTCACAGAACTCCAAAGCCCATCTGAAAATCACGCAGAAGGAACTGAAGGACCTTCAGTGGGAACACGAGGTGCTGGAGCAGCGGTTCAGTAAGGTGGGACCTGCAGGCAGGGCTTGGCACCCTCTCCAAACCTTCTTCAAACCCTCTGCAGAGGATAGGGCGTGGGGCTTAGCAGAGCCCGTGCTTAGCCCAGGGCTTTCCAAAGCTAATCCAGAGTCGGGTGATAACCGCTGCTCCCAGCAAAGCTGCTCCCAGCTCCAGCCTCTCCCACGGTCAGCAGACAGGCCTGGCCCTGTCCTTTGCTAAGCAATCATGCACGCTCCAGCGAGGCCCCCGGGCTGCACAGGGCAGAGCTGGGATAGGGGGATTGCCACGGGCCCCTCCTCTGCCAAGCGTTCCAGGCTCGCTCCCTCTCGTTGTTCTGGGGTGCTCAGGAAGAGCCCTGCAGAGTGAGTGCTCCCCCCACTAACCCAGATAAATCTTTTGAGGCAGGAGAGAGCTCATTTGCAATTCGTAGAAATCCCCAGGATTATGAACATTGATCCGAGGCCTCATTAACAATCCATCATTAAGACAGCGCCAGATTCGGAGCGTTCAGAAATAGGCTTTGGAGGAGAGACTGTCCTAATTAGGACAGTTATTAACTAGCTGTGAGCCAGGGACTGCTGCCAGCTGTGGGGATGAGAGAAGAGACCCCCGTGTGCCGGGGGCCCTCTCTGGGGTCTGAATTAGTGCTGCAGGGAGCCCATTGGGACATTCCATGCCTGGAGGGGAGGAGGGAGAAGCGCAGGTGCTGCGCCATGGAGGGAGGGAGAGAGGGAGGGAAGAATGGAGGGGGGGAAGCTGTGCTGCAGCACCTGCCTTCCCTGTGGGCTGCAGGTGCCGTGGGGAACAGCCAGGCTGAGCTGCTGGACCAGTTTTCTGCCCTGTTTGTGCTCCACACCATTACACAGACCCCAGTCAGCCTTGTGCACGCCCCTGTGTCCCCTGGGGTCCCGAGGGTGCTGTGACACTGTGCTGTCTCCCGGAGCAGGTCCAGGAGGAGCGAGACGAGCTCTATCAGAAGTTCACCAAAGCCATTAACGAGGTGCAACAAAGAACGGGGTTCAAGAACCTGCTCTTGGAGCGGAAGTTGCAGGGACTCCTCAGCCTCCTGGAGCAGAAGGAGGTGGAGCTCAGCGAGGTCGTTGCAGTCTCCAACCTCGACCCCAGCGCTCTCTCCTTGGTCTCACACAAGCTGGAGGTACTGGAGCCTGGCGAGGGCTGGATTTGGGGGGCAGAGCGCACTGTGGGGTGCCTGCTGCCCTGGAACACACCAGTCCCCATCCTCCATGGCTGTAGGTGGCACAGCACTCGTTCCCAGTGCTCCCAGGGCCACGTGTGGTGCCATGGGGCACCCGGCTCTGCCTGGAGAGCGGAGAGTGTGGGTGGCAGAGTTTGGCACTGATCTGTCCCTCAGGTGGGGCCTGTTTGGAGGACCATGGCCACAGGCTCCATGGCACTGCCAGCACCCTGTGCTGCCACACAGCCAGCTGCCAGCAGGTCCAGTGGCACCCAGGGGCTCTGTGCAGGGGGGTCACACCTGGTGAGCCTCACCTGGCCATGGGGACAGTGCAGACAGGATCCTGGGGCTCTGCGGTGTCTGCCGTGCTAAAAATACCTCTGCAGAGAGCCTGGAGACCCACATTCCTGCAGCCTGCCGCAGCTGGAGCCAGGGAGCAGTGCTTGCTGCGGGTTGGGCACAGACACAGGGAACGAGGGCTCCACCACCTGGTGCCCTCCTGCATGTCCCCACCCGGGTCCCTGCTGCAGGGGGAGTTGGGGAAGCTCTGGGATGCTCTGGGATTCGTACCAGGCCTGTGGGACAGGCATTGGATGTGTCACCTCCCAGCAGGTGGAAGGAAAACACATTCCTGGGATGGCATCACTGGCGTCAGGCTCTCCTGCAGCTGCTGGGGTCTCTGAATTCCTCCTCTCAGCTGCCTCGGGGAGCCTGGCTCCCCGTAATTCCCGTGGTGCCGCGGCAGCAGGGTGGTGCTGCTGGAGCAGGTGCTGCCAGCACTCCCCATACAGCAGGGCAGACGGGGATGGCTGTGGTGCTCATCCGGAGCTCCCTGTCCCTGCCTGGGGCTGGCTGTCCCTGGCAGTGCCACTCAGAGGGGGCAGGGTGGTGGCCACCTGCCAGGCCGTGCTGCCGGCTGCTCTGCTCGCCTGTCCTCTGCCACGCCACACCCGGCCATCGTGTCCCCAGGGCTGGGCAGCGCAGCCTCAGCCCAATCTCCCCTTGCAGGACGTGCTCAATTCCAAGAATGCCACCATCCAGGACCTGCAGCTTCAGCTGGCCCGAGTCTGCAAGGTAAGGGTGGGGAGGAATCCTGGAGAGGTTTAAGAGCTGTGTGGATGTGGGACTTGGGGATGTGGGTTAGTGCTGGCCTTGGCACTGCTGGGGGAACAGTTGGACTCGGTCATCTTAGAGGCATTTCCAACCCAAAGGATTCTGTGATTCCATGGCTTGGGGGTTGGAAACGAGGCTGGGGGTGCAGGGAGCTCTCCTCTGCTGACAGAGGGGCTGACAGGGACCCTTTCCTCTCAGGCACACAACGACATGCTGCAGACCTTCGAGGCAAAGCTGACAGCCTTTGGCATCCCCCTGGACAACTTGGGTTTCCAGCCACTGTCCTTCCCCTTCCCAGGGCAGGAACTGGGGCAGGGCCCTGCTGGACTTGTTGCAGTGCCCACCTGATGCCAGCAGCACTGAGGGTCTTGCTGGCACACTGGCAGTGGGGCTGTGCCCATTTCCTGCTCCATGCCTTTAAACAGACCCCAGTGAGCATCTTTAGGAACCTCTCCCCCCAAGGGGGACCACAGCTGGAGGGCTTCAGGCATCCCACCCACCCCACCAGGCTGCCCCGGGGGCTCCTTCTGTCCCTCCAGAAGAGGAAGGCAATTTTTTTGAGACAAAACGGTGCTGTGTGGAGTTTTTAATGGCATCAGTGGCACCATTCCTGGGTGCCCAGGGGAAGGCAGAACCCCTCTAACTGCCCCGGTAGGTTGTGTAGGAGTAGGGGCTGATCAGGAGCGGGACGTGGAGCTTCTGTGCCGGGTCGGTGATGATGAAGACAACCTGAGGGAGAGTGAGGAGACAGCAGTGGGAATCCCCTTCCTGTAGTGAGGCCCTGGGGAGTGCAGCCCCCTTGAGCCTGGCCCCAGCCCCCAGGCTTTCTGTGTCACCGCTCCCAGTCTCCCCACACTCCATACCTCCACAAAGGGGTAGAAGCTGGTGTGCCCCAGTCCCCGCCAGTACTCGGCTGTCTCAAAGTGCAGCTTGTAAGTGCCAGACTTGGCCTGTCCTGGTGCCAGGAGGGGCTGACAGCGCCCGTCCGCATCTGTGTACCTGAAACCAGACCAAGCCAGTCCTGCTGCACCCCAAAACACAACCCCACCCCCAGAACCTGCCCCGCTGTACCCTCAGAACCTGCCCTGGCCGTACCCCCAAGCACCAGCCCTGCCACCAGCAAGCAAACCCCAGTTGTGCCAGGAGCCTTTGGCCAAGCTCACAGAGCACTGGCAGCAGTGTCCCTGCCCCATTCCAGTGCCATCAGCTCTCCTACCTCTGTGCCAGCTCCGTCCACTGCGGCCCCGGCTCCTGCAGCTGGGCCAGCCGGACAGCAAGGCCGGCTGCCGGCAGCCCCGTGGCCGTGTTCAGCACATGGGTGGTCAGGGTGCCGTTTCCCACCTCAGACATGCTATCAGCCTGTGGCAGAGGGAGAAGCAGGGCTTGGACCTGTCCTGGCAGCACCATCTGCCTTCTTCTTGACTGTGCTGCAGCCAAGCCCCTGCACCTCGCTCTTCCCCAGAGCTGGGATATGGAAACCCACGTCCTTCCCATGCCACGGTGCTCAGCCCCAGGCTCCGCAGCCACCATGTGTGGGTGCCAGCTGGTTCCCACCAGGATGCAGGGTCTGTGCTTACGGCAGCAGCTCCCTGCTCACCTGCCTGTCCTGGTGGGCCTCAGCACAGCACAGCAGCCAGCCTGGACCCGACGAGGAAGCAGCCCCATCCCAGCAGCCCCATCCCTGCCCACGCTGTCATGTTCCGGTGGACATTGACCCTGCCCAGCTCTCTGCAGCTGGCATCAAGGTCAGCGCTGCTGGGGGCAGCCAGGCCCCTTCTTCTCCTGGAGTTCCTGTGCTGGGGTGGGAGCACAGTTCGGGGCTGTGTCCCAGCAGCCGGCAGGACCAGGCAGCCTCCCTGGAGCCGGAGCAGCTCCCACTGGCAGCCTGACCCCAGCACCAGATGACGTGGGGGTGCCACAGAGGCACCCTGGCGAGCTTACCTGCCTGTCCTCTGTCCCGCTTGGCCACGGACGTGTGGCCGATGACCCTGAACAAAACGCCATCCCCAGCCCGGCCTCCCTTCCTGGTGCCACGGCTCTCCCGGTGGAGCTGGCGCGGCTGGATGCCGCTATCCTGGCACGGGGCTCCCGCAGAACCGGGTGCTCCTCCCCGGCTGGGCCGAGCCGCACGGGCGGCTTCCCGCTGGGAGCTGTGCCGAGGAGCCCCGCTGGCACCCACGCTCCGGCAGCGCCGTGGCCCCGAGGCTGGTGGCCCAGAGCCCGGTGGGAAGCTGGGGCAGTGGGCCAGGAGGAGCCACAGCACAGCTGCCATCCCGGTCTCGCCTCCCACCACGGAAAGCACCTGGAGCGCATCGGTGCTGCGGCAGCCGGGCACGTGGGGCTGTCAGGAGCCAGCACCGGCTTCACCACAGCCTCGCCCTGCCCTTCTGCACTGCCAGGGCACCGGCGGGCTCAACGTCTCACCTGCACCGTGATGCGGGCGGTGGCGGTGGCTCGCAGCCCCATCCCCTCCAGGTCGGCAGCCTGGATCTCCAGTGTGTATTCAGGGACAGCCTGTGGCAAGAGGCTCTGTCACCCACAAGTGGGGGATGAGCTCGGTGGGGGCTGAGTCCGGGACTCACCTCTGCCACCAGCCCCAGCCTGGCTACAGAGACCAGCCCAGAGCTGCTGTCGATGGTGAACATCCCGGGCTGGGGCTTCTCTGGCACCTGGCTCAGGATGGAATATCTCACAATGCCATTGTTGGTGTTCACGGCGTCGTCTGCGTCGGTGGCCAGCACCTGCAAAACCGACGTGCCTGGAGCAGGTGGTTATTGGTGACCTGTCACACATCCCTCCAGTGCTGCCTGCCAGGTGGTGGCAGTGGTCCCACCTGGCTTAGCTCCCTCCAGCACAGAGCCGTGGAAAACTGCCTGGGTGAAGACGGGCCAGTTGTCGTTCACATCATGAAGCAGGAGGAGCAGCGTCCCCATGCCGGTGGCAGCTTGTGGTGACCCTGTGGGACTGAGAGTCAGCAAGGCACCCAGGGAGGGGCCTGGACCCCATGGGGGCACACGGAGCTGGGCACGGGGGCAGCAGTTGACCACCCTCACCATTGTCCACGGCCAGGACGATGGCCTTGTAGGTGCTGTTGATGGCATACGCCGATTCCCAGTCCAGTGGCTGGGCTGCCGTGATGATGCCGTTCTCAGGGTTAATGGCTAACCACCCCGCGGGGTCGCTGCCCATGCGATACCTGGGGGCAGCCAGGAGTCAGCAGCGGGAGAGAAAGGGGCACACGGGACAGCGCAGCCCCTCAGACACCCCAGAAAAGCCCCCACCACCCTCCACTCACGTGATTTTCTGGTTCTGGTCCTTGTCGGGATCCTGGGCTGTGTAGGAGGCGATCTGGTATCCCACTGGCACATCCTCCCTCACCATCACCTCCTTGACTGGGGGTATGAAGATGGGGGCTTCATTCTTGTCCCTGACCACCACCAGGACAGTGGCTGTGGCAGGTTTCAGGGTCACGGTGAAGGGGACCTCGTTCTCCACTGACACCACGAGCTTGTACTGGTTCTGGGTCTCATAATCCAGGCCCTGGGGGTGGGAGAGAAGCCGGGTATTGCCAGCAGGGAGTCAGCTGGTGCTGAGGCAGCCATGCAGCAGCGGGACCTACCTTGGCAGTTTTCAGAACCCCATCATTAGTTTTGGGGTCAGTGCTGATCTCGAAGTCGCCCTGCGGGTCCCCGCTCTGGATGCGGTAGACAGCGTGCCAGGCTGGGGATCCTGGCAGGTCCTGGTCTGTCACATGCAGCCGGGCCACTATCACCCCCACCTCGTTCTCGTCCACTGCCACCTCATACTGCAAGATGGGACAAGGACAATCACCTGTGTGGCCCCAGGCACCCCAGGTGAGGGCTTGTGCCACGATGGTCGGGGAGGGCAGCGGCCGGGGCCGGGTGGTACCATGCTGGGGTTGAAGATGGGAGGGTTGTCGTTGGCATCAGTGACTTTGATGATGGCAGTGGCAGTGTTGGTCAGGCCTTTGCCCTCCTGGTCTGCAGCCTGGATGATCAGCGTGTAGTTGGGAGTGGTCTGCAGGGCAAAATCACCCAGTTAGGGCTGGGGTGGGGACTGTGGTCTTCCCCTCCTCCAGCCATCACCTGCCTGCTCCTCCACCCTTCTCCAGCCTCGCTGTTCCCTGCTGGCACAGAGGCAGCCAATGTCCCAGCTGCCCACCCGAGGGGCTGGCACTGCACCCACTCCAGGGCTCAGCAAGCCTGGAGGTCCCTGGAGTGTCTCAAGCACAGCTCAAGGCTGCAGACACCCCTACAGCCAGGGACAGTGGCCCAGGGATTGCATGTCCCAAATCCAGATGGACACCAGGGCTCCAGTATCCCTTTCTCCCCATAGCACATCCCACTGCAGAGTAGCTGCAGGCTCCCCTGAGCTGTGGCAAGGTGCCCACCTCCCGGTCCAGTCCTGTGCCAATGACACTGATGATGCCCTTCTCGGCATTGATGGTGAACATCTCCCGTGCACCCTTGGGCTCCTCGCTGAGGATGGAGTAGCCAATGATGCCATTGTTCACGTTGATCGCATCATCTGCATCTGTAGCGTTCACGGTCATCACAGATGTGCCTGGACATGGGGACAAGTCAGGGAGATTTTAATGATGGGACAGAATCCACCGGACACGCTGGCACTGCTCCCGCTCAGGGCTCTGTGTGGTCCCAGCTCAGAGCCCCCATGTACCTGGCTTTGCATTCTCCTCAATGTAGCCAACAAAGACTTGCTGGGTGAAGACGGGCCGGTTGTCGTTCTGGTCAGTGACGGTGATGATGATCTCCATGGGGTCTTCCACGGGCTGCCCGTTGGCTGACACAGCATGGGAGTAGAGCTGCAAGGGCACAGTCAGTGTGTGCCGTCCCCAGGACCATCCCCATCCTGCCACAGGCTCCCCTCACTCACCACATATTTATCCTTGTCCTCCCGGTCCAGGGGTTTTGTCACCTCCAGCCACCCCGTCTCCCGCTCGATGATGAAGACACCCACAGGGATGGTGTCTGCTCCCTGCCCCGTGATGCTGTAGAAAACCTTGGTCTCCTTGTCCTTGTTGGATTTGATCTGGCAGCGAGGCAGGAAGGGGAGGGTGAGACGTGTCCCAGTCCTCCAGGGACCCCCCTGTGACCCAGTCCATGGGCACACGTACCTGCACCAGCTTCTTGGGGAAGGGTCCCTGATCATTCTCGGGGCAGTTGATGGGGGGGATGACCCAGTCCCTCTCCTGCTGCTGGAGGCCGTGTCCATGCTCCGGGAAGGTCAGCATGTCCTGTGGGATGGAGAGCAGGGCTGTAGGGCCATGGAGGGACACAGCTCTGCCCAGAACTTCGGGGGGGTGGCCATGCAACAGCCCCGGCCCCACTGCGATGGTCCCACCTGCAGGAGGAGGAGGAGGAGGAGGGTGAAGGTGCAGAGTGCCATGGCTGCAGCTGCACTGGCTGTTCCCCCCAGGTGCCAGCTGGGAACTTTCCCTGTTGCGTCAGTGACCTTGGCCAGGAAAGCAGAACCGGCTTTCCAGAGCTGCCAGCCCCGGCGGGTCTGGGGGCGCCGTATGGGGGGACCCAGCACATGACATACTGCTCCAGGCTGGGCGGGACGATGGAGTCCAGGAACCCCCCCGGAGCCCCTCGGTGGCCATGGGAACCCCCATTCCAGTGGGGCTGGGGGGCACACACAGGTCCCCCCCCCGAGAGTACCAGTGCTCCCATAGGCGGCAAAGGGGGAGGAGACACCCGGGGTTGGCACGGAGGAATGGGGAAGGGGGGCTGTTCCTACGGGGGCGATGGTGGGAGGTGTCAGGGTCATGGGAACACCGGCAGGGAGGAATGGCAGGACCACGAAGGTGCCTGGAGATACCGGGATGTCCGGGCGTGCCCACGGGGCTGCGCTCCGGGGCCGGGGGCGCCGGGGGGCGGCACTGAGAGACCGGGGGTGCCTCGGCCGGTACCCGAGGATTGCCGGGCCCTACCGGGGAGTGTCAGGGGCTTCCAAAGGCGATCCCGATGGCTACAGACCGGGGAGGTGCCCGACGGGGTGCCCGGGGGTTAACGGGGGGTTAATCGCGGGTTGCCGAAGGTTGCCACGGCACACCAAGAGTTTACCGGCGGTGCCCCAGGGTTCCCGGGAGGTACTGTGGATTGACAGCAGGATTTCAGAGGGGTGCCCGGAGAGTATTAAAGGTTCCGGTACCGGGCGGTGCCCGAGGGGTACCGGGATGCGCCTGGATCTTGACGGGTGGGTGCCTGGGAGGTTACACGGGGTACTGGGGATTGCCGTAGGGTTCCAGGGGAATACCGGGAATATACCCTGCTGTGGTATCGGGGTGTTGTATCGGGGGTTGCCGGAGGCTTCCAGAGAGGTACCGCGGTGTAACGGGGATTGCCGAGGGTGTTGTAGGGGGTAAACTCCCGGTTGGAGGGTCCCGGGGGTAATGGAGGGGTTCAGGGCATTTCCGGGGGATGCTCAGGGCGTACTGGGGCCGCTCTCCGGGGCGGGGCGGTACCTGCGCGGCCACCGCCTCACCTGGGGCGTTGCGGGGCGGGACGGGGCGGGACGCGGCGGGCGGCGACCGGAGCGGCGGCGGCGGCGACAGTAACGGACGGGCCATGCGGGGGCCGCGCTCCGGGCTCTGCCCTCTCTCCATCTTCATCCTTCTCCTCCTCTCCCCGCTCCTGCCGGCGGCCGCCTTCTCCCCGTCCCCGCCGTGCGTCCTCCCGGGGCTGCGCCGCGGGCCGCTCCCCGCACCAGGTAACTCGCACCGTCGGGGCGCGGCGGCACCGGACCCCCGGAACACCTCGGGGACGGGCTGGGGCTGCGATCGGGACCGGGATCGGGAATCGGGCCTCCGAACCCTGGGGGGATGCTGGGCCTCCCTCGCTGCCGGGATCAGGATCGCGTTGCCCCCGGTGGCGGGGACGCTGCTTTTCGGGAGGAGCTCGCTGTGCCCCGAGTGTGGGGCTGCGCCATGGGGCTAGCCGGGCTCCTGTGGTCCAGATCTGTGCTCCCCCCCGGGCTGTGGGGCTTGGCCATGGGGCTGGCTGTGCCCGGGGGGCTGGCGGTGCCCGTCTGATCTCACCGGGCTGCTGGCGGCTGATGCCAGCGCCTTTGGCCCAGCCATGGGGCACCCGCTGCGAGCAGGGCTGGGTCCCCGCAGGGTGGGTGGCCGGCGCGGGGCCGGCAATGGGGTTGGGTGACCCAGGGCCATCCTTCTCCGGCCCTGGGGTCCGGGCTGTGGCTGGCCCGAGGCTGGGCAGGGCCCTGCTGCTGCCAGCTCTTGGCTCGCTGCCGGCGCTTGGCCCGGGCCCGTTGCCCTCTTCGCTCGGCGGCTCCCGGGGGATCGGAGCTGCCCGAGAACGCGGCCGGAGCCAGCGCTCGTCTAATGGCCGCGGGAGCGCTAAAAGCTCTCCTCGGCGGTAAGTGCCAGGGAGCGGCCTCGACCTCCGCCTGCTGTGGACACCACATCCCGTTTCCATCAGCGAAGCCTGCCAGGACTGGAGGTGGGCGCTGCCAGGCCCCTGCTGTGGGCACAGGCTGGGGTCTGGCCGTGCAGCTGCGACCCCCTCCGTGGGCAGTACATGGCCCCGGTACCGACCGTGCGGCTCCGTCTTGGCACCCGGCGGGCACGGAGCCCTGTGGGCCCTCCACGGAGGGACCCCCGAGGACACGGTGGGGTACCCGCTGTGCCGCCTGGCACTGCGGTGGGAACAGCAACTTGTGCCCGGCTTGCCAGGGTGAATGATGCCCGTCCAGCCCCATCAAAGTCTCTTATCGCGGCCACCGCGACTGGGAGGGGCCCCGGTGCTGCCCTCGGGGCACGGTTGCTGCTCCCCACATGGTCCCACCGTCGGCCCTGGGCTCGATCCCTCTGGTGTGGGGCACAGCTCTCCGTGCCCCATTCCACGCCTTCCGCAGCCCCCCCCCAGCCCCGCTCCGCGTCCCGCCCTGGGCCGCTCGGCCGCCCGGAGCTGGCTCAGCTCCGCTAATCCCCTAATCCTTTCCCCGGGGGGAGCGGAGCCGGGGCTGTGTCCAGCACGAGGGATGCAGCGTGGTAGGCGGGGGAGGGAGATTGAGTGCCCAGTGATCTGGCCACGGGGGGGTTGGGAGCCCCGAGGGGGTGACACACCGGGAGGGGGCTGGGGCAGGGCTCTGCCCGCCCAGGAATTTCCCATCATCTGCGAAACAAAGCCGAAACTTCCACCGAAACTTCCACTGCGCTCCCGTACGGCGCCCGGTGTTCCCTGCCCCGATCCTGGTGTCCTCTCCCCATCTTCTACCGCCGCCAGCCTCACTCCGCCTCGGGACTCTGGGGGATCGCGGGGTCCTGGAGCTGGCGGTTGCGGCTCGGGGGTGTTGGGGGAGAGGTCCCCCCCATCCCCCTGACCCCTCACCCTCGCAGGGAGCTCCGGAGGCTGCGCAGGGCCGTACAGGACGGAGGAGCCCGATGTCGGGGTGCGGGAGGACGGGGGCTCCGTGCGGCTACCGGGGGTGGGCAGGGCTCTCGCCGTACCCCCCCAAGATGCTGGTTTCCCCCGGTATGCCGCTGGCCAGCCAGACCCTGCCCCAGTTCCTGCAAAGAGCAGGCACTCCCCCCAGGTAATGCTGCACCGCAAATCCCCCATCCCCTGCTCCCCCAGCCGGCTGTGCCCTCATTCACCTCCATCCCACAGGAGCTCCCCAGGGCTCACGCTGCTCTCAGGAGGCAGAAGAGGGACTGGGTGATCCCCCCCATCAAGGTTCCTGAAAATGAGAGGGGCCCCTTCCCCAAGAAGCTGGTTCAGGTATGAGGCTGGTCAGTCTGGGCATGGAGATGGGTGCTAGGGGTGCATCCCCACTGCATCGGGGTGGGGCATACTTTGGGATGTCCTGTGTCACCTCCCAGATCAAATCCAACCGGGACAGAGACACCAAGATCTTCTACAGCATCACAGGGCAGGGAGCAGATGCCCCTCCCGAGGGCATCTTCACCATTGAGAAGGAGTCAGGCTGGATGAAAGTGACGCAGCCGCTGGACCGTGAGCACATCGACAAGTACCACGTAGGTCCTTGCCTGGGGACACCAGGGGGATGTTGGGGTGCTCTGCCAGGTCCCCCACTCACACCCCACCCCACAGCTCTTCTCCCACGCCGTGTCTGAGAACGGGAAGCCAGTGGAGGAGCCGATGGAGATCATCGTGACAGTGACAGACCAAAATGACAACAAGCCCCAGTTCACACAGGAGGTGTTCAGGGGCTCTGTGCCAGAGGGAGCTCTGCCAGGTAGGACCTCATGCCTTGGGGAATCTCTGCATTCCACCAGCCATGTTCCTTGGGCACAGCCCTGGCATCCCACTTACCTGGACATCCACATCCCCAGGCACCTCCGTCATGCAGGTGACAGCCACGGATGCCGATGATGCGGTGGAGACCTACAATGGTGTCATCGCCTACTCCATCCTCAGCCAGGAGCCACGGGAGCCCCATCCCCAAATGTTCACCGTCAACCGGGCCACTGGCACCCTCAGCGTGATTGCCAGCGGCCTCGACCGGGAGGTGGGCTCTGCAGCACCGTGGGGCAGGGGTCCCAGCCCCAAGTAGGGGCTGACAGAGTGTCTGTCCGTCTGTCTGTCCACCACAGCGAGTGCGGGAGTACACGCTGACTGTGCAGGCAGCTGACCTGGATGGGGAGGGACTGACCACCACAGCGCTGGCCATCATCGAGATCGCTGATGTCAATGACAATGCCCCCGAGTTTGACCCCAAAACGGTAATGTGGGCCCCCCTACTGGGTGTGACCCTCCCTGGTGCGTGCTGGGCCGTGCTGCTGATGGTGCCTCTGACCAGCAGTACGAGGCGGCCGTGCCAGAGAACGTGGCCGGGCGGGAGGTGGCCCGGCTGGCTGTCACCGACCTGGACAAGCCCGGCACGCCGGCGTGGCAAGCCGTCTACTCCATCGTGCGCGGCAACGACGGGGGTGCCTTTGCCATCGCCACCGACCCTGCCACCAACGAGGGCATCCTCCGCACCGCCAAGGTCTGTGTCACCTCATGTCCCCCCAGTGCTGCCCACAGTGGGGTCCTGCCTGTGCCTCTCTCACTACCCATGTCTCCCCCTCTCCCAGGGTCTGGACTACGAGGCCAAGCAGCAGTTTGTGCTCCATGTGGCGGTGGCCAACGAGGTCCCCTTTGTCGTGAAGCTGCCGATGGCCACTGCTACGGTGACAGTCACCGTGGAGGATGTCAATGAGGCCCCGGTGTTCGTGCCGCTGGTGCAGCTGGCCACGGTGTCGGA